GGACTCCGATCCCGAGCTCGGTGTCTCAGCGGAGGCCTCACTGGCCTGTCGAGTTCCGCCGCTTCGACTTCTCCCGGCCTGGCTCTCTGCAAGCGCCAAACTAGCAGAATGGCCTCTGCGCTGGCTTCTGGCGGGCCCGAAGTCCTGATAGGCACCCTATCACGGCGCATCCCGCCCTCCTCGTGGGGTGGCTCTGTCGCGACAGGCCGTAAGAAACAGCGCCCCAAACATCAATCAAAGATTTGTTGAAGTCCGCACGGACTTCTCGGATCGGCGCTTGACCCCCCCCCCAGTGGAAGCGCCGGAGAGGCTCTGCCAGGGGGCTCCTGCAGCGCCGACTCGAGGAATCCGCGAGGACCTCCATGTCTTTATTTTCATGGCATTGTTTATTTAATCGCTTCGCTCATTCCGCCGGGCCTGGAGCGCTCTTTAGGGTCTCTTGGGGGCCTCCTTGGAGGGCTTCGGGGACGGCGCCCAGGAGGAAAACCATCTCTGACCCGAGTCTGCCGGGACCCTGCTGGGGTACTTTTCGTCCGGGGACCCCCAGGGGCGGCACCGCGCGCGCGAAGTAGAAGTACTATTTAGCAGTTACCGGAGATCTTAGCACGCCTCTGGCCCGTTGGGCCGGCGAATTTCCCTAGACTTGGCTGCCGACTTCCGCCGATCCGATTCATTCTTATCGTCGATCTGACTTGCCGATTCGACTCTGGGCCCTGCTACGAAGGCGAGCCGCTGCGACCGGATCGACCGCGCCTGGGCCCTCGCAGCAGCCGCGCCCTCCCGGCCCGAAGGAGGCAGGGCTCGAAAGTAAGAGTTCGACGAACAAGCAAACAACGACATCAATACACAAACTCCGAGGTCCGCGCGGATTCGTCGGATCGGCTCTGGGGCACCCTGGCGGCGCCTCTGGCGCCGTCCCTGGCGCGCTCCGCGCGCCAGGGAGGGGGGTCCAGCGCCGATCCGAGAAATCCGCACGTACCTTTGAGTTTTGATGCCGCTGCTTGCTCCCCCAGCTGCCTCCGCCACTCGTTAGAACCTGAAGACAGTGGCAGAGCAGCACGCCGGGGCGTGCGCTCTCCCGGATTGGACAGAGAACCAGGGCTCGAAGGCCAGTGCCTCCGCCGTGCAGGGGACCCCGAAGGCAGGAGCCGAGCAGCACCCCGAGGGATTCCGGCAGGGCCGTACCTAAGGTAGACGTGGTAGCCTAGCCTCGAAGAATAACACCACGCCACACACAGAAATTTTCGGCGCTCCGCGCGGGTTTCTTGGATCCGCGCCAGTCCCCCCTTGCGGCGCCTCTGGCGCTGCTCCTGGCGCCCTCCGCGCGCCAGGCAGGCGGGTCCAGCGCCGATCCGAGAAGTCCACGCGGACCTCCGAGTTGTTATGGTCACGTCATCGCTCGTCCTCCCAGTAGAAGCTGTTACCTAGCATGCGCCAGGCATGGACGACACCGCTCGCTTAGCCTCTGTGGGCCCCGAGGCCTTCGCGACCCACCCGGCGTTTCCCAGTTTGGAGCTCGTTTCGGCCCTCCCGAGCCCCAGCCGCAAGAATGCCTGGAAAGTCCTCCAAAGATGTTACCCTCCCCCCTTGGCGATTTGAGTGCTATCGCCGGGCTGTGCACGCACATGCCAGAGCATCTCGGCTGTCGGAGGCTGTCCCAAAAAGTGAGATCGATAGTGAGATCGATAGTAAGATCGACAGGTGTCCCGTGGTGTCTCGTGGTGTCCCGTTGAGTGAGATCGAGAGATCGATACTGAGATCGATTTGGTGCCCCGAGGTGTCCCGTGGTGTCCCAAAAAGTGAGATCGATAGTGAGATCGATAGCGAGATCGACAGGTGTCCCGTGGTGTCCCGTGGTGTCCCGTCGAGTTTGATCGATAGTGAGATCGATAGTGAGATCGATAGTGAGATCGATGTGGTGTCCCGAAGTGTCCCGTGGTGTCTCGTGGTGTCCCGTTGAGTGAGATCGATAGTGAGATCGATAGTTAGACCGATAGTGAGATCGAGAGGTGTCCCGCGGTGTCTCGGGGTGTCCCGTGGTGCCCAGTGGTGTCCCGTGGTGTCCCGTTGAGTGAGATCGATAGTGAGATCGATAGTGAGATCGATAGTGAGATCGACAAGTGTTCCGTGGTGTCCCATGGTGTCCCGTGGTGTCCCGTGGTGTCCCGTTGAGTGAGATCGATAGTGAGATCGCTTGAGTCAGATGTTGGTTGCCCCACCTCTCCTCCCCTCCCCCCCTACTATCTCCTTATCACCCGAAGGGTGGTAGTATAGGTAGTATATGTTCGGTGGCGGGTGCTTTCTGGCCATACCGCTGGGGCCACGATATACCACCACTGTCGTTGTACTATACGACCTAGTCGGACACACGCCTCCAAGGAGGACACTGGTCAGAGTGAAGGGGCCGAGCGGTCATTCTTTGTCCTCGGGTGCATGGTTGAACTGGAGTTCGGTGGTTCGATGTCCGTTTTGTTGTGCTAAATTTTCATTTTAAAAAACAATTATTGTTGACCCCCCCTGCGTGGTGCCCATTGTGTTCTTTCAACTTCAGTGCCTCTCCTGGGGCTCGCACTTTGTTTCCCACAAGGGGAAAACTTGACACTCGGATTGGGTTGCCGGCCCCGGGATTACAGCAACAACGGCTCCCGCCTGATCTTTCCTCACGCCTTATTCACACCCGCGCTCTCGCGCGGGACTGCCTTACAATGTAATCAGGGATCGCGATCTCGCTTGGGACGTCCTCACGATTTACTTGTGAGTCGCGCTATCACTCGAGAATTCCTCGCGGTTCATGCGGACTGATGCCTCAGCGACCCGCCCGCTCGACCTGGCCCCGTAGGGTCCGCCCGACCCGCCCGTCTGGTTCTGCCGCTTGTACTCCTGCTTCTGATCCCCCTCCTGCAAATTTCTCTCGTGCTCCTTTCCTCTTCCCTCCCTCCCCCATGTTTTGGGGGCTGCGCCACGTACACGTGGCAGGTAAGGAAGACGTGCACCCCTGAGGGGGCTACGATCGACGACGAAGAGGGTGGGTGCTGAGGGCTTGGGATGTACATGGTCAGTGACACGCGAGCAGATGGAACGAACAGTCCGAGCATCCTTGCTGTTGCTTTCGTCGCCCTCTCCCTCGACCCGCCCGCGACCCTCCCGGCGTCCCACCCCGCGGCACACCCCGGCGACCCACCCTCGGAAAACGGCGAACAACAGTATATATTTATAGTAGAAATGTGGGCTTCCCGATCTGATGGGCTCCTCCTCCTCCTCCTCCTCCTCCTCCTCCTCCTCCTCCTCCTCCTCCCTCCTCGCGGGGTGGGTCGCCGGGTGACCCGGCGACCCGCCCCGCGACCATCCCGCACATGCTCCGATGAGATTTCGGCGCCCGCGGCGGGGGCTCGCGGCCCGCCCCCTGTTGAGGGGCCCCGCCCCGGGGCCGCCGGCAGAGCGAGGCGCTTGGCTCACGGGCACCCGGCAGCGCCCGAGCGCAGCGCTCGAGGCCATAGTCAGGAGGGAAGAAAACACACAGACACAGTGAATCGTCGATCCCCCAGAAAATATGGGAAAATATGGGAAGTGTGGGGGGGGGTACGAGAACCCAGAAAATATATAGGAAACTATGGGGAATCTTTGTATTTGTGTGTGTATTTATTTGTGTGCCCCTGGGCCCCTTCACATATGGCCCTCCGGTCCGGGCGCTGGAGTCTCGTTTCGCGACGGGCGCCTTCAACCAGCGTCGTTGCGCGGCGGGGCGTGGAGGAGGAGGAGGAGGAGGAGGAGCCCTGAGATCCTGGAGTCTCCATTTGTTTGAGCCGGGCGTTCTCGCCAGGTTTCGGGCACCGGGGCCTGATCAGAGAGCCACGCGGCTCGAGGAATGACACAGACAGAGGGTGCCAAGCGTCCCAAGCGTGGCTTCTCGCAATGGTATCGTTTTTCGCAACGTCGCATACCAGGGGAAAGTGACGTGCCCCCTCCTCCTCCTCCTCCCTCCTCCTCCTCCTCCTCCTCCTCCTCCTCCGCCTCCTCCGCCTGCTTCTCCTCCTCCTCCTCCTCCTCCTCCTCCTCCTCCTCCTCCTCCTCCTCCTCCTCCTCATCCTCCCCCGCTCTTGCACTCGGAGGGCGCCAGTAGGGCGCATGCGCCAACTGTTGGCGTCCTCCTATGCGCGGCGTCCCAGAACAGTGTCAGACAGGACATGCGTGAGGGGTGCGCCGGAACGAGGCTCTCGCAGCCCTGGGGGGGCATCTCACTGAGGACTCTTAGGGCTTTCGCAGCCTTGAGCGCGCCCTCCTATGCACGGCGTCCGGGGTGTGTCCTGTCAGGGGAGCTCCACGGTCCAGTTGGCACGACGTCCAGACTACATGGGGCGCTCCATTGTACCTCTTCGCCTGGACAAGGCGGCGGAAGCAGAACGGCGGCGGCTCCAAGAGACGCCACATTTGTAGCACTCACGGTTTCCAGAACCCGCCGTGGACGTGCTCATCCGTCTGTCGTACGTTGCCTACCTGGTGCCCAGTCTGTTCTTGTCCGTCGAATCTCGCGAGAGCGGAGCTCTGCACGGGGGCTGCACAGCCACGAGCGAAGAGGAGACGGCCACAGCCGCTGGGCCGAGGGAGCCGCCCCCGGCGCTCTCCCGAGTCCGACCGCGATTTCCGAGCAGTAAGGGACCTCTGCGGACGCGCAGCGTCACCACCGCTTCGGGGTCGGGTGCGGCCCTGGGAGGGCGCCAGCGATGGCTCCCTCGGCCCAGCGGTTGCGGCCGTCTCTTCCTCTCTCCACAGCGCCCGAGCTCTCGCCCAACTCGTCCTCTCGCCCCGAGCTCCTGTCATTTGCCACCCGGCTCCCTTCCCCCAGGGATCATCATCACCACCACCACCACGATCCGTACAGTCAACGCGCCTAGTAAGGACGCGCGCCTTCATCTAGGGTACCCTTGTGTCGTTGCCTCTGAAGCCCGTTCTTGCCATGATCACTGGTCGCCCGCCGCCCTAAAAAACCCAACTTCGGCCTCCAAGGGTCTTGCGTCCTTATCACCCGTCCTTAATACACGTTTTGACTGTAGCCACTTCGGCTGCAGCGGGCTCGATCCTCCGCTGCCTTCCTCTCCTGCCCCTGCCTTCGCGCGTCCAGGGGGCACACCGCACCCGCTACGTATATACGCCCATTGGTGCTGTCGCCATGCCAGTGCACACCGGGAAGAGGCTCGGGCGCTGCGCCCTGGCAGCCGCCGCGGCGAGCACCGGCTGCAGCGCCCTCGGCACCTGGCGCACGAGCCCCATGCACGAGTCCGTCGCGCAGCAGGACGCCACGGACATGTTCGCACACGGCCTGGTGATACCCGACGATTGGCAGGAGGAGATCCCCATCATCACCGTCGAGACGCGCACGGACGAGACCAGCTACCCCGTCCCAGGAGTCCCTGGCGCGCGGTTCACAAACCTCGGCGCTGGCCAGGAGTGGCACGGCCTGTTCACGAAGCCCAAGCTCTTCAAGGCGTGGCTGGACAAGCAGCCGGACCCGAAGAAGATCATCGTCTTCGCGGACTCGGCCGACGTGCTGTTCGGCGGCTGCAGCAAGGAGCAGCTGATGGACAACTACAGGGCCACCGTGGTGAAGAGCGGGGGAGTGCCGGTGGTGATGGGTGCCGAGCTGGGCCTGGACCCCCCGCCGTCGGGCGCCTACACCGACATCCACAGGCAGTTCGCGGACCGCCGCAAGAAGGTGCAGGACATCATGGGCCTGGAGGACGCCTCCTACGGCGATGCCGCCATGTGCGAGATCAAGAGATCGGACCCACGGAGGTGCTACGTGCCGTCGCAGCAGCAGGTGAAGGAGGGCCACTGGCCGTGCGCGGGCCCGTGCTCCTGGCCGCCCGCGCTGACGTTCCTGAACTCTGGCTTCATCATGGGCCCCGTGTGGGCGATGCGCGAGGTGGCGGCTGGCATGATAGAGCACGAGGAGCTCCCCATGGACGCCCCGTTCAGGAACAACTGGCACGACCAGGGGGCGGCGACTCTGTACATGGCTGCAAACCCGAACAAGTTGACGTTGGATTATACTGGGAGCATCGTGCTCAACATGCATCAGCTGAAGCTGAACGAGAGCCTTGAGATTATGGGTGGCCTCTTTATCAACAAGGTCACCGGCGTGCCCCAGTGCTTCATCCACGCAAACGGTCCCGCGCTCTTCAAGCTCAACAGGTCCCTCATCGCCTACGCGAGCCTGCCACCTGGTGGCAGCATGCGCCTGCACGGATGGTGAGGCGCCCCTAGGTGGCCGGCAGGCGGCCGACCAGACGTTCTGTGAGCGCGCTCCGGTGGGGTCTGTCGCCCAGGCGGGACGCCTGGGCCTCCCCGAGTGGAGAACGCCGACTTGTTGCCGCCGGTGCGCTCTAGGTGGCCTTTGGATGTTCCGGACGCCTCTCGACGCATTCTCGGAGAAGGCCAGGTTTCGCATCTTTGTCTTGCCATGGCGGCGGCTTGCCAGGACAATGTTATATACAACTTCTGTTGGTTATCAGAATGAAGCGTTGATGCAGTTGCTTTCATGGGCGAGGCACCGATGACCTCGTGATTTCCTTCGTAATCGACTGTATTCCACAGTGGACTTCATTTCTCGATGAGCACAGACTTTTATTCACCACCAACTTAATCAGTGTTTTAGTCACCACTCTTTGTCACTTAAATTCACCATGGGCACAGACATTATACTCGGGCTTGGGTCACACCACCACCATCATAATCAGCATGATCATCATGAACATGAGCGTCATCATTATCATCATCATCTTCTTCATCACCTTCATAACCCTCATCACTATCACCATCATCATGATCATCATCATCATCATCAGCAGCATCATCATCGCATTCGTCATCATCATCATCATCATCATCATCATCATCATCATCATCATCATCATTACCATCATCATTACCATCACCATCATCATACTCACCAGCATCAACATCCTTCCCTCGTCATCAGCATCCCCATCCTCGTCCTCATCACCCATCACCACCATCATCATCACCATCTTCATCACCATCATCATCGTCAACATCCTCCCCATCATCATTGCCGTCATCGTTAACATCATCGTCATCACCACCATCATCAGCATCATCGTCGTCGTCGACATCGTCATCACCATTGTCGTCGCCATCATCATCTTCATCGCCACCTTCTTCATCAGCATCATAGTCGTCAACATCTTTAGCATCACCGTCATCGTCATCATCATCATTATCATTGCCATCATTATCAGCACCATCATAATTCTCGTCATCATCGTCACCATCATCATCATCATCATCATCATCATCATCATCATCATCATCATCATCATCATCACTATCCGCAACATCATCATGGGCTTCATGTGCAATAGCCATCGAGCCCCACTCGGGGTAGCGCCATCCGGGCCACGATAGGTTTACCACGCAGGTCGGCGGCGCCGGAGGGGGGCACAGGGTCGACCAAGTGGCCACAAGGCAGAGGCCGCCGGCACCAGCGGTGGGCACAATTGTGCCAGCTCGGGGCGCGGGGTGGGGGCCTTGTCGGGCCCGGTGGCTGAAAGACCCCGACGTTCGTCGTCGTCTAACCTGCTGGGGGAGGTTCGTCGTCGTCGTCGTCGTGGTCGTGGTCGTCGTCGTCGTCGTCGTCGTCCGTCGTTCGTCGTCCGCCGTTCGTCGTCCGACGTTCGGCGTTCGTCGTTCGCCGTCCTCAGTCGTCGCCGTCGTCGGTCATCGTCGACGCCTAGCCGGACGAGGAGGAGGAGGAAGGAGGAGGAAGGAGGAGGAGGAAGGAGGAGGAGGAAGGAGGAGGACGAAGGAGGAGGAGGAAGGAGGAGGAGGAGCTCTTCGGACGTCGCCGTCGGCAGAAAAAGGCAGCGCTCTCCAGCCCTCGGCAGGGCAGCCGCGCCCAGGCCCCGCAGGGCCGCCGAGGCATCCCGCGGCGTGGCCCGACAGCCGGGCGGGGGCGCCGACGTCCTCCTCTTTCCTCCTCCTCCTCCTCCTCCTCCTCCTCCCTCCTCCTCCTCCTCCTCCTCCTCCTCCTCCTTCCTCCCTCCCTCCCTCCTCCTCCTCTCCTCCTCCTCCTCCTCGCTCCTGGGGGGGGGGGAGGGCGACAGGCTCCCGAGGCCCCCTCGCGCCGTGCAGCGAGCACGCGCCGGGAGGCTCTCGCTGCCGTGAGAGGCCTCCCGCCGCGCTCCTGCTCGCCGCGCGGAGGAGCGAGGCATGTCGAGATCGAGGGCGCGACCTCGGCCCGGAAGCGGCAGCAAGCCGCACGGCCTATCGAGATCGAGGAAAAGAAACACGCATATCGAGATCGAGGAAAGAGGGAGCCGGCATATCGAGATCGAGGAACAGAAACACACAGACACAATGAATCCTCGATTCCGCAGAAAGTAAGGGAAACTATGGGAAGTGGGGGGGGAGACAGAAACCCAGAACATATGGAAAGATACGGGGACTCATTTATTTATTCGTGTGTCCTGGGGCCCCTTCACTGGAGCCATACCACGCCGCCGGAGCTCTGCAGCGGCAGCGCGGCGGGCGCGAGAAGCGAGAAGCGAGAAAAGTCCGGAGCGCGACCGCCGCCGGCGGCGGCCGCGGCAGCCGGCGGCGGCAGCCGGCGGCGGCGTCGGCAGCGGGCGGCGCTCGCGGAGGCCCCCGCCCCCGCGCCGGCAGCGGACCTCGCGCGGGGCGGCGCGCAGGAGGGCCTCGCGCTGGAGCCCGCCCAGGCGGCGCCGCCGCTGGCCTTGATAGTTTCGAGCGCCAGGGGAGCACACACGGTCCAGAAAAGTCCACATTGGCTCACGTCCGTTGCGGCCTGGTTGCGCAAAGCTGTCGATCCGCCATCTCACTCTGGACTGCCGAATCAGATAACCATATTCCAGACAGAAGACACTTCCATCCAAGAATGCAAATATCCATGTAGAGAGAGACACAATGTCCGTCGGCGGTTCAAAGGTGGGGTCCTGAGGGACGGGGTCCTAAGGATAAGGAGGGATCCAAGGGTGAATTGACGTTGTTTGATGCACCTCGTCCTTCGGACCCCTTCCCTCAGGACCCCGTCTTTGAACCACCGAGTGTTGAAACTCACGGGTTTTCACGTGTCGGGCCCTGGGAGGCGATGCTCGTTCGACACTTCGCCAGCGCGTCGGGCAGGGAGACTGCTTCCATACCTTTGTTCGCGGTGCTCGGAAGGATTTCTGGATGATGTGGTTCCTTAGGTACGATGGGAGCTAAATAAGGCTCCAGGTTGCCAGACGTCCTCGTTGGTGTCTCGGCAGCTCTCCAGCCGGCACGCTCTCCAGCAGCTGCGCCTCGCCGAGAGCCTTCTGGGAGTGCACGAGCCGTCCCGGACGGGCGCGCCCCAGGCTCCCTCGCGTCGTGAACCACAGCAGGGGGGATGTTCTCGGCACGATTCAGGCTAGTTTATTTGCATGGCGTCCGCCCCTTCCCCCCCCCCTCGCCCCTCTTCAATCGAACACGAGCAAGCAAGCGCCCTCCGACTTGCGCGATTTCCGCACGTCAAGTCGCCTGCGGCCTGCTTCAGGTTCAGGCCCCCCCCGTCCATGCAAGCAAACTTGCCGCAGCGACCGAAAAACAGCGTGCTCATGGGGGCCCTCAGCCCGACCGCGGGATGGTCAACAAAAGGATTCGGGGTGAACATCAGGCCGTGGTGGAAGTGTCTGGCTTTCTGGGGGGCTGGCTCCCCAGAGACCCCCTCGCGCCGCGAGGTCGGTGCAGGCTTTCGACCCTGGGGGCTTCCACGAGGCCCAATAAAGCTACAGTCGGGGCGCTGAACAAGGAACCTTTTTCGTTGGGGAGGGGCTCCGTGTTCCTTAATTGTTTCGCAGGTTGCCGTAGGTTGTCCCTAGGTTTTCGATGGGGAATCTAAGTTTAACTTATGGAAGAAGGGGGCCCATTCCTTATTTAGGGTCCCTTAGGTCAACGCCCCGACTGCACTCGGGAAAGATCTGGGACTTCGAAGGGCTAGCTCCCCAGACCCCCTCGCGGCGCAGGAAAAACATCCCGGCGGCACGCTCGGCAGCGCCCTGCCCCCAACGGGCCCCCCGCGGGCCTGGCCGGGCGGGGGCCGCGCCGACCCCCCAGCCGTGCAGCCCTCGCCCATCAGGGCCTGCGTGCCCCATCCTGCCCCAGGAATATGTCGGGCGCGTCCCCCCTACAGGGGGATTTTCGACGAAAGATAAAACATACCCCCAAAGATGCCCCAAAAAGGTCAAAAAATACTCAAGCAATAATCCCCCGACTATTTTTGGATTATTGTTTGATTATTTTTGCTGGTATATTTGATATTTTTCATCGAAAATCCCCCTGTAGGGGGACAGGCCCGACATAACCCCAGGAACGCGGGGCTCCCCCGCCGAGGGCCGGTCGCCGACCTGTCGACGGCGCATCGTCGATTCCATGCTGCAGTGGAGACGTATACGCCAAGGAACGCCCTGCTTACCTCGGCGCTGGGGCCCCCCGGTGGCGCCTCCGGCGCCGCCCCTGGCGCGCTGCGCGCGCCAGGGAGGGGGTCCAGCGCCGATCCGAGAAATCCGCGCGGACCTCCGAGTTTTTATGTTTATGTCACTTTTTGTTCCCCTACCGGGGTCTCTTGGGTCTCGATGGCTTTGCGATGGAAGGCGTGACGTTCCCACGCCAGGAATCAGTGGGCGTCCTGGGGTCTCAGGATTGGGCTTCTTGTGGAAAGTGTCTTGTGGATCGGCCTCCACAGTATCCATGGTTGCCCCCCCCCTATCGGCCCCTTCAGCCATGAGCGGCGAGGCCAGCGGCCGTCGGCGACGCCGGCCGCGCCACGAACCCCAGCGCTCCGACCAGCTGTTTGACCCGGGGCTGTTTGTCCTAGGGGTGGTTCCAGCCGGAGGTTGTTTGTCCCGGGGCGGTTTCACCACGTCTGTTTGACCCGGGGCTGTTTGACTTGGGGCTGTTTGTTCGACCGGGTGGTGGTTTTATCCAGGGCTGTTTGTCCCGGGGCGGTTTCATCAGGTCTGTTTGACCCGGTGGTTGTCCGACAAAGGGCTGGTTGTCCCGGGGCAGCTTCACCTGGAAAACATACTTGCGAATATACTGCCGATGCTTTGTGCGACTGGTGTCCCACACCTGGGTCAGCTCAGAAGTATCCAACACTAGTGCTGATTGAAGTTTGTTTTTCAATGCTATTTTTAACAGGGTTAGATACGGACATATGTTTTATCGATAGTAGATACGGTCAGATGCGAATGGATGTGCGTTTATATGCGTCTTGTAGATATGTTTGGATACGTTGCGAAGCCGAATGCATTTTGGAGACGGGTTGGTTTTCGTATACGGGCAGAAACGTTTCGATACGTTCTGACACTGCTACTGGTGGCGCACTTAGCGCGACATCTCATTAGCAAACATATGAATTCGTTTAGATGAGGTGCCTCCATCGCTCGATGAGCAGGACAGAGGCGCTCCGCGAACATGACGAGGGGGACGAGGAGGAGGGAAGCGGCAACAAGGGAGGAATCGGTTGGACGTGGACGATGACGAGTAGGATGTTGTGGAGAAGTAACATGAGTTAATCTGATGTCTCCTCGCTTTCGCTTTCCCCACCTTCCCTTGAGGTTCATCGTCATCTTCCTGACGTTTCCTTTTCCTTTCCTCCGTCCCACTCCGT